ATGAGCCTCGGGGAGGAGGAAACCTTGGCCTGCATTCGGAAACAGAACCAAGTCTGCTCCAAGACCTTCAAGACATTCGAATGGCTACTCATTTGTAACAGCAAAGTCTGTGGCCCACCCAGGAGGTGGTGGGCCCCAGATATACGCACACACCTTCCACAGTGGCAGCTAGGTTTGGATTTGGATTGAAGAGGAATGGGGAGTGGAGGGCTTAGCCCAGTCAGGCGCTTTTCATTTGGGGACATGTGTCCTGGATTTTCTGGGACAGTACAAATTCCTTGTAATTTGATTATGTTCAATGAAGGCAATTTGTTAGCCATCTGATTTTCAATTTGGAAAATATGGCCACTATAGTTATAACTAATGAAGGGCAAATGCTAAGGAGACAATTCAATGTGAGTTTGGTCCTTGCACCCTAGACACCCAGCACTGTGTCCAGCATGCCACAGGTACTGAGGAAGCTTTTTAGGACTGTATTTAGGAAGTTAGATGCATTTCATTAGGACAAGTATATTAGGAGGAATATGTTAGGACATGGCAGAGTCTTCCATAAAAATAGAACTATTTGCAACTTCAGGAATAAAAGGGGCCACATCTTTGCAAACACAGCTTGACAGCATGTCAGACATGATATAAAGTGACCCACGCAGGGCCCAGCAGAGTAGAGGCTGAGGCTGCATGGGAGCCTGACTGTGGTTCTTGACCTGACCTGAATAGGCTTGGTCTGGAAGTCCTAGCTAACTAGGAGGTTGGGGTAGAAGGGTCCTGATGTTGCGAGACCCTAATGAATATACCTCTGTCTTCTTCTCTCTCTCTCTTTCACAAAAGAGAAAGAGACAGATGTAAGCCAGAGGGAGAGTGAGCCTGGGGGGTGGGGGGAGAGGTCGCAGGCATGCTGCTCTGTATCCCAGATGGACAGAGAGCAGGGAAGTTGGTAACACAGGCCTGAAACTGCAGGGAGGACTCACGGGTCTTCAAGGAAAAATGATAGAGGAAAAGAAGAAAATGGGTCTCAGGTGCAGAAAGAACCCGGAACCAAGAGATAAGAAGGTGTACAGCCCTAAGGCAGGGTGAAGACAGTGTCTTCAAGGAAAAGAGGGGAAAATGGCATAGCAGCCCCAAATCAGCCAAACATGGAGTACACAGTGAACAAGAAGGGAAGTCACGGAACAGAAAAGCCAAAGAAAATGGAAATAACAGCTCCCCCACACGGCCACACAAACCAGGAATATTTGTTATTCTTCTAGAAAGTGGGTTTGTTTTCATCTTCTGGGAGAACCAGGCAGTTGCTGACCAGGGCCCCTTTTTGCTTCATCTTCTTGGAAGTCTAGAGCCACGTTGGCGGTCTGCCATGTGTGTCAAGCATCGAGGCCCTTGGAACTGCCTTTACTCTTTTTGCTCTAGCGGACGGGCCCCGTCTTGTTTTCCTTTCTCGCCTCCTTGCAGTACGTGCTGTCTGCTATACTTCATGCAACCCCGTGAGTAGCTATAAAGCTCTTCTGGGACAAGTAGAGTATAAATTTTACAATAGAAAGACGGTGCCAATACAGGGAAACATAGAGGTGGAGAGAAGAGGAAAAGTAGACTTGATGGGGAAGAGAAGAGGGAATTCCAAGGAAGACTGAGATCAGCCAAATTGGGGAAAACACCATTCAGTACAGAAATATATGGTTCAGGCAGCCCGAGAAGCCTGGGAAAGCCCCAGCTCCGAGACTGCATATGATGTATGGGTTAGATAGAAAATGATTGCCTTGGAAACTCTTAGACCTCCTAGTGCAGGAAAGAGGCCCATGGAGGTTGGTGTGTGCAAAAGGATGAAGGATGGAGGATGGTGGATGTGAGTAGAGGAGAAAGATGGGAGTCTTGTCTTACATGCCCACTTCCTCGCCTGCCAGAAAGAACATGAGAAAGGCACATGAGACTGTGAGGCTTGTACCAAAAGTAAGGCAGGTAATTCTGTGCAGGAACAGCAGCTGTGTCTGAAGGAAATGGGATCGGTTGAGAAGAAATTAAAAAAAAGAGACTTTCAAATCAGTTCACAAGAATAGAAAATTTAAAAATGTGCATGAGACCGTTTGTTAATTGTTTGGAACATGCAATCCATATGACGTGTGAAATAAACCATGAGAATTGATGAGATTGACACATAAGGGGAAAAAAAGACGGTGAAAAAATAAAGTGAAATGTAGTATTATATGCCTAAATGATAAATAAGTAAGATAAATTTCTCAGAAACCTAGAGACTTGGCAGAGGTGTTTAGAGTGTGTTCAAACAGCAGTTAGAGGGTGAGAAATGCAAAATATAAAATGGATAAGCAGAAGATGCCCAGATCTTCATGTCAAAGTAGGGTGTAGAAGAAACCCCACAGGGGGAGAGAAGCCAATCGCATGGCCCAGTGGCAGAGCCCAGGTGTGCTCTGGAAAAGAGGAGATGGCCCAGGGGCCTACCCCCTGGTCCTGGGTCCTGGGTCCCCTGAGATCTGAAGTCTCTGATGGCATTTCAGAGGCAGGAGCAGGGGGTAGTATGGGAGGTGAAGGGTGTTTCACAGCGACATTTGCAGAGGGAGATGGGATGTCATTAGTCACAGGGTCACTGGTGCTGTTGAAGGTAGAGACTCAAGCCATTACTGGACTCTGTCATGTGGCCAGGCAGGATGGACAGAAGGCACAATTCAGTGTGTGGACAGAGACAACTGCCCATAAATGACAGAGATGTAACGAGATGCTCCCAAGGGGGTTGGAGGAAGGCTGTGCCCTCCCCCAGTACTTCTGCTTCAGCACTCCGTATCCTTCAGTGCTAAACAAACGATATGGCATTTCCAGATCGGGTCAAAAAAGTAAAGGTGGGCCCAGAACAGGGCCTCCTACAGCCAAATCTGAGTGCAGTGCTGTTCTCTCTTCCCAAAGAAAGCCTCTCTCGTGGCCAGGTGCACTCCCTCCACGTGAGTTCCTGATCCCATTCCTGATCATCTCTTAAGCCTCTTCCTTCCAAGGAAGAAGGACCCATGCTTCCCCCATCATCCTGTGCTCTCTCTGGTCATGCAGAGTCTGAGTAATAGGCTGATGCTTGTGAGTAACACAGTTGGAGAATGACATTCAAGGACACTTCCAGAGAACTACACACAAGAAGCCGAAGTCTCCCATGACCTTCTGGGCAGCGTTTTCTCCAGCCATCACTCTCATTCTTTAAAGCTTTCCTACCCCATATTGGTGATCCCTCCCTCCCACTCTGAGGTCTCCGGTTGCATCTTAGAGGAAGGCACAGGGGCCGGTTTCCTCCTTCCTCACTGGATGGTCCTGATTCATTTTCATTCCTCACTCTTCTTCCTCTGCCCTCCCACCAGTGTGTGGGATCCTTGGGTCATCTTTAGTCTGCTCCTCTCACTCATGGGCTGAACCATTTGAATTTGTAAAACCACTCCAGTTCCTATTTTTGCACCAGACTTCTCTGCTGAAGCACAACTGTCTTCTCTATGGACCAGCTCAGAACAGCAGCTGATTTTTTAACATGAGAGTGGGCATAGTTCCAAGCACACCTATAAGCTATGTACACTTACTATTCCCACTTTACAGATGAACAAACTGAGGCATGCAGAGTTGAGTCATTGGACCCAGCCTGCAAGATCAATAAGAGTTGGGGTCTGGACTCAGGCATTTGGCTTGGAAGCCTTTGAGTTGAACCACAGATAGTCACCTGTCTCGAGCCATGGGAGACATAGCATGTCTAGAAACACTGCCTTTGACTTTCTCCCCAAAGTCAGGGGTAGGGACAGGAGAGTTTAGGTGACAAGGAAATGAAGCAACTAAATGTGGGGTCGTGTGACTTAGTTACGAGAAAACCCAAGGTATGTTTAAGTGACATGAAGAGCAACTGAACTGAAGGGTGAGGGAAGGGCATGATGGCAGACTGAGGGGACCTCGATCTGGTCATTGTGGAAGGAGAAGGCACAAAACAGAGCATGACGCCGTGACTCAGAGGATAAAGAGGAATGCAAGGATGCTGAAGGCATGAGAGTCAGACCTACCGGCACTCGGGTGAACATGGTGCATAGGAGGAGCATGCACCGAGAACAAGGGAAACAATGCTTACAAAGTGGAAAAGAGATGAGGTGGGTGGGAGATTGGAAATTGCTGGCTGCAAATGGGGAGTAAGAGCTGAAACGGCCGTTTCTAATGGCAATATTCATGGCCCATTTTTATGATAATAACAATGATTTAAATGAACATTTAGGGACCAACAGACAGCACAGTGGCTATGTCACTGGACTCCCACATGGCTAACCATGGTTCAAGTCCTGGATCCAGTGGCTTCAAAATCACGCTGGGGCACATGTCCAAGATTCTGGGAGGATAATGGAGGAGAGGGGATTGTGGCATGGCCATCCTCACTGGGGAGTGATTTCTCACTTTTTCTCTCACTGTCCATCTCTCTCTCTCTCAGATGAGCACATGCACCCTAAGATAAAAACGTCTAAAATATTTAAAATAAATGAACATTTAATGAACATTTACTATGTCCTAAGGAATTTGCATGCATTGACTTATAAAATAAACACATCTGTTTACAAATCTTGGATATGCTATTAATTGCCTTACTTGGCAGATGCAGAAACTGAAGGTATCATCTAGTTCATTTTATAGGTGCAGAATGAGCTTGGAGAGAATCTCTTTTGGGCACAACTGTAAGTGCTGGGATTCAAACAGGCCAGCAGTGGCATGTTTCCGTGTTATTTAGCCTCCAGCAGATGCTTAGTTCGTCAAGGGCAATGACATCATCTCATTTGTCTGGGCAGCTCCAGAGCCTAGCATCATGCCTAGCCTACCAAGCATACCCTTTAGACGTCAGTGAGGATTTGCTGGCTACTCCATGCAATCTGTGTTTGTCGAGTGAATAATGACTGAATTACAAAGTAATGAACAATCCTCTCGTGTACTAGCTGGGACTGAATAGAGTCTGAGCTTGAGCACAGGCAGGGCTCCTGTGAAAGGGTGATACTCACCGGCATTGTTTTGCTGCTTGGTGTTTTTGATATAGGCCGAGAATTTGGAGAAGATGTCGATGCCTGCTGTGTTAGATTCCCGGTGTTTTGCAGCCAATTTGGGGTACCTGGAATGAAGACACAGTCTTCTGAGAATCAGTGAGCCTTAGAGCTCCTTTAAGGGTGAGCCACTCCATGATGGAGGGGCAACAATGCCCTTTCCAGCTGGATTTGCACATCTTTGAGGGTTTTACATCTATCCTTCAGGGAGAGTGGGTAGGCATTATCACCCCTAATTGACTGATAGAAGAAATCAGAACACTGCGGTGCTGAGAGCTGCCTGGGGTGACACAGTCTGTTGGGCAAGAAGCCAGAATGTCCCTCAAGGGACTCAGGAGGTGCATTGACACCAGGAATGCACCAACGAAACGGCTCTAATCATACTGGAATGAGTTTACCTCTCTGTCACAGGTAGGGTCTCTGACATT